GTAAACCCATCAACTGCCCCACTGACATATCGAAGTGAATGGAGCAGATGGAAGGAGGAAGGCAAAGCGGGGGAGGGGGCCTGGAGAGGGAGGAGAGGGTGCATGTTTTGGCAGCGTCGTAGCTCGGACACCCCGACTTGAGGTGCTCCCCCAGGCCCTGTTCGCAGGCAGCTTCAAAAGGGGGAAAGCCCTTTCTTCAGCTGCCAGGCAGAAGGGAGAGTCAATGAGAGGGAGAGAGGGAGAGAGAGAGGCGGGAAGAAGGGAGGTATAGAGAGGGAGGGAGGAGACAGACGGGTGAATGGAAGAAAGGAATGGAGGGAGAAAGGGAGGAGACAAGGATGGATGGAAGGGAGAAAGAGGGAGGAAGGGAAGGAGTGAGGCAGATGGGAGGACACAGAAAGGTAAATGGAAGAGAGGAAGGGAAAGAAAGGGAGGGAGGGAGGGAGAAGGAAGCAAATGGAAATGAGGGAGGGAGGATACATAAGGATGGATGAAAGGGAGAGAGAGGAAAGAAGGGAAGGAGGGAGGAAGGAAGGAAAGGGAATGGAGGAAGAGAGGGAGGAGACATAAGGATAGATGGGAGGGAGGGAGGACACAGAAGGGTAAATGGAAAAGGAAGAGGGGAAGGAGGGAGGGAGAAGGAAGGAAGGAAATGAAAATGAGGGAGGGAGGATACATAAGGATGGATGGAAGTGAGAGAGAGGGAGGAAGGGAAGGAGGGAGGGAGAAGGGAGGAAGGAAGGAAGGAAGGAGGGAAAATGGGAATGAGGGAGGAAGGAAGGAAGGAAGGAGGGAAAATGGGAATGAAGGAGGAAGGAAGGAAGAAGATGGGAATGGAAAGAGAGGGAAGGAAGGAAGGCTAAAAACCAGGAGACATTGAATTCTAGGCTTGCCTTAAGCATGAAAGCCAGGTAGGTGACTTTGGGCCAATCACCAGGAGACGGTGAGTTCTAGTCCCAGTTTAGACCTGAAAAAGTGACTAGGTGACTTTGGGCCAATCACCAGGAGACGGTGAGTTCTAGTCCCACCATAGGCACGAAAGCTGGTTTGGTAACCTTGATCTCCCTCTCAGCCGAATCCACCACATACCATTGTTATTGTGGGGAGGAAATCAGAGAGGGGAGGAATATTGTTTGGTTTTGCCGCCTTGAGTCATTTATAAAAATAATAAAGGCAGGATACCAATAAGTAAATAAATAAATAAAAATAGGAAATAAGGGAAGGAAAGGAGGGAGGGGAAGGGAGAGCAAGGCAATGCGAAACAGAAGGAAAGGAAAAACACCTCAGAACAAAGTTTGGAATTACTTTACGATTCTTTCAGCCAAATTATTAACGGCCTATTAACGGCCAAATCCACATTTTAGTAAAAGTGGACATTTTCATAGCTCAAAATATTGGAGGTGCCTGAGGGATTGATTGAGCCAGTTGGAAAATATCCACATTCACATTGTGTTTTTATATACATCTGGGGAAGTGTGAACATATATATATTGCACACCCTCACACTTTTTCTCTTCCTTCGCCAAATAATTTCGTTTAAAGTATGAGCAAGCCCTACTCATACTTTAAATGAAGTTATTTGGCCAGAGGTAAAAAAAAATGGGTTTGTCGAGTCAGATATTCTGGTCTGCTTTCAAATCCAGCCTGACTCGACATCACTTTGTGGACATGTAATGTAATCCATTCTCAATAATAATTTCTGGACTCCTGAAGTCCCACTTGTAATCAATGAGATGTGTAATCAAAGACCACACATAAAAACGTATGTAGAACTAGCTGGATACCCGTGCTTCGCTGCGAAACTATGCAATTGGGCTTGGTTAATATAAGGCAACTGGCAGTTGGAACAGAGTTCTTTTCAGGTGGGGAGGGGGAGTGGAATGTCTAAACTCCCAGCCCGCAGGCTGGGTGAGTCATGCGCTGGACACGTCCACTCCTGATTTAGCGAAGGAGTAGCATCGGGGTGTGTTAATATAAGTCAACTGGCAGTTGGAACAGAGTTCTTTTCAGGTGGGGAGGGGGAGTAGAACTCCTTAGCATCAGAGCATGTTAATTATTGTATAAGAAATTACTTACACCCATTTGTTTAGTGACTGAAGTTACAACAGCACTGAAAAAAAGTGATTTATGACCATTTTTCACACTTGCTGTACTACCATTGCAGCATCCCTGTGGTCACATGATCAAAATTCAAACACTTGGCAATTGACTCATATTTATGACAGTTGCAGTGCCCTGGTGGGTCACGTGATCCCCTTTTGCGATCTTCTGACAAGCCATATTAACGGGGAAGCCGGATTCATTCAACAACCATGTAACTGACTTAACAACCGCTGTAATTCACGTAACAAAGGTGGAGAGAATGGTCGTAACACGGGGCAAAACTCACTTCACAACCATCTCACTGAGCAACAGAAATTTGGGAGCTCAATTGTGGCCGTAACTCGAGGATTACCTGTACTGGATTTACATAAGAGGCTTGGCTAACATTTCTTGGCCTGGCCTACCTCGAAGGGCTGGTAAGAGACTTTCAGGGTGTGACCTCCAGCTGTGCCAACACATCAGCCTAACTGAGGGAGGTTGAGATCCAAGCCGATAACTCTGCAAAGCCGCATTCCCCAGAAGGAAACTTCACCCGGAGACCATAAATTCAAAACAAATAAACCTGCATTGGAAGATCTCAGATAGTCTGAATCCAGAGTGCGCCCCAGAGGTAAATGGTTCTCCTGGACTCCTTCCAGGCCAGCTGGATCCCCCCCCCCCAAAACACTGGAAGACTTCTCCCATGTCTCCCCTGGTCTTCACTAGACTAACCATGCCCAGTTCCTGCAACCGTTCATTGTAAACTGTTACCTATCCTAACCCTAACTCCCAAAGGGGTCCAAAATTCAGAATAGAACAGAATAGAATTAAAGAGTTGGAAGGGACCTTGGAGGTCTTCTAGTCCAACACCTTGCTCAAGCAGGATATCCTACAGCACTTCAGATAAATGGTTGTCCAAATCTCCTCTTAAAGACTTCCAGTGTTGGAGCTTTCACAACTTCTGGAGGCAAGTTGTTCCACTGGTTTATTGTTCTAACTGTCAGGAAATGTCTCCTTAGCTCTAGGTTCCTTCTCTCCTTCATTAGTTTCCACCCACTGCTTCTTGTTCTACTCTCAGTTGCCTTGGAGAATAGCTTGACTCCCTCTTCTTTGTGGCAACCCCTGAAATATCAGAAGACTGCTATCATATCTCCCCTAGTCCTTCTTTTCGTCAAACTAGACCTACCCAGTTCCCGCAACTGTTCTTCATATGTTTTAGTCTTCAGTCCCCTAATCAAAAATGATGGAAGGGACCTTAGAGG